ATCAGAACTGACTTTGACAAGCACTGTGGCAGTTGGACAATTAAAACAGACATTCGGATGGCGGGGAAGAAGAACAAACTGGGGAGGAGGGTGGAGAGAATGGTGCGGCAATGAAGGAGTGAAAGCCCAGAATCCCTGTGAGTGTTCATTGAAACTAATAAAAGTTAATAATAATAAAAAAGATAAGAAAACCGCCAGAAAGAACTTTCTGTAAAGGAGAAATGTTCTACATTTGCACTGTCCAATGAAGCAGCACCAGCACGTGGAAGCACTGATGTATGTGTGATGTTGGGCTCCTAACCAAAAGGTTGGTGGTTTGAATCTACCAGCTGCTTCAGGGGAGAAGTGCTGCTTCTTCCTGTAAAGGTTTCCTGCCCCAACCACCTGATGTGGGTCACTGTGAGGGGGAGTCGACTTGGTAGCAGTGGGTTTGCCTTTGCTTTGTCCACAGTGAGAGCTCAGTGGCACGGTGGTTAAATGCTTGGCTACTAGCTGAAAGGTCTGGGGTTCAAACACACCAGCCCTTGTGTGTCCTGGAGTTCACTGGCTCCATGGGAGAAAAGACCTGGATATTTGCCTCTGTGAAAGTCACTCATGGCTTAGAAAACCTTCGGGGCAGCCCTACTGTGTCCTGTGGGGTCACTATGAGTTGGAATAACTCGAAAGCAACAAAGCAACAGTGGTAACAGTCATGTGGGTCTACAGAGCGCTTGATATGTGGCTAGCAGGGCTGAGAAAACAAATTCTAATGGAACTTAGAATGTTGGTAGCAACATGTCTAATGGCTTCTTCCTGGACAGCACAGCTTTGACACCCATTTGTCCACCCGTGCCCTCGTCCTCTGGTCATGTCTTGGGGCCTCCCTGGAAGGATCTGTAAGTCTCTTTGAGCAAGGGAGACCGTTTTCTCTCCCCAGGGTTCTGCCTGATGGCTCTCAATGGGAAAGTTGCTTTCTACATCTGAAGTCTACTAGCCCTGCCAGCTCCGAGCTCCAGCTCCCAGCTCCCCAGGGAACGAAGGAAGAAGGCAGGCCACACAGATGGCAGGAGCCCGGAGAGGAACTTCCTGGCCCGCATCCGTTCCAGGAGATGGAAATCTTCCCCAGGCACAGCCAGCTTCCTTCCCACGGGGGACCGGGAATGGGAAGGCAGCCGGGAGCAGGGTGTGGAGGAGGTGGTCGAGGGCAGAGGAGGGCGGACAGGAGCCAGGACAGGAGCCAGCACTGGGCGAGCACCTGCTGGGGCAGAGCACACAGGTGAGGGTTCCTGCTGAGCGACCACCAGGGATACTGTCGGAGGCTCTGAGCACGTCACTGGAGAGACGTGGCCACTGAATTCAGCTCAGAGAGGGCTGCCCAAGATCACAGACTGGGATAGGGGTAGAATCAGGATTTGAACTCAGGTGGGCCTGACTTGCAAGCGCACGGGGCAGGGGCTTACGTCCTGCTGCAGACGGTCCACCGAGGCTGTGATCTCTGCTGCTCTGGGCTGCCCGTAGCTCTGGGTCAGAGTCTGATTCAAGTGCTGCTTCAGCTCGTCACTCAGCTGAGGAGGGTGGAGAAGGGAGGCGGGGTCAGCAGGAAGTCCCCACCCAACCCCAGGTGGCTGGGATCCAGGCCTGCTCCAGAACATGCCAGCCAATTACAGAAAACACCACAGCATAGCTTTTCCAAACAATGTAACGGGGCACCAGCAGGGCACACCCCACACTGTGCTCATGACGAAACAGAAGTGGGGAGCCTGAGTGTGCGGGGAAGGACAGGGGTGCAATGGGCTGAGATGAACAGGTGGCTGTGAGGAAAACAGGGGTGCCTTCCAGCGACCATTGATTCTCCTTCTGATTGTTGGTACTGAGCACTGTCAAGTTGGAACTGACCCGTAGCTGATCTTCCAGTAGATGTTCAGAGACAGTAAATGACCCAAGAAGAGACTGCTCTTTCTCTTGCGGCAGCTGATCGATTCAAACCGTGTGCCTTTAGGATTTCAGACCAGCTTCTTATCACTAGGACACCAGAGCTCCTTCTGCTTTAGATTGGGAGGAGATGATGGAAGAATTTATAGTCATGACTCTATGGGCATCATGCTGTCTGCATGGGCACCGGCTGGAAACAGCTGGCACAGCTGCACAGCCTCACCCAGTCACCTGCACTGGTCCGGGCCACAGATCTCCGAGACAGAGGACGCCAGGCTGGAGGGGACTTCCTCAGGCCTCCCTGTCCAGTCCAGCAGGCAGGGCTGCTCCTGTCTTTTCAGGCTGCCACTTGATCCAGGCCCAAGCTCTTCTCCTTGGAGATCTTAAATAGATGGGATTTATCCTCCCCTCTCCTTGGAAAGAAAGAAGGATGACCCCGCCTCTCCCTTGGGGCCCACTCCCCGGCTCTGTCCTCATCAACAGCTGCAGCAGACAGCTGCTGGCACTAAGTCAAGGGTAGAGTTCCAGATGTGGAGAGGGCTGTTGGGGGCCAAGGAAGAGGGAAGAGGAAACATGGTGCTTCAGTAGTTAAAGCACTCTGCTACAAATGGACAGGTCAGCAGTTTGAACCCATCAGCTGGTCCATGAGAGGAAGATGACACATCCTGCTCCTAGGAAGATGACAGCCTTGGGAACCCCGGGGCAGCTGTACGTCTGCGGCCATGGTGAATTGGAATACGGAGCTTGGGTGGTGTAGTCCACGGGGAGCTGTGCCGCTAACCCCACAGTGCCAGCAGTTCAAATCCCCCAGCCGCCTCAGGAGAAAGATGGAGTCTCGCACGTGATTTACCGCCTCCAAGCCCCACCGGAGGGTCAGCTTTGAGTTGGTTCTGACTGAAAGGCCATGAGTTTGACTTTGATTTTGATGAGTTGGAACTGACTCGATATTAATGGGTTTGGTGCGGGTTTACTGGAGCTGGGGTTTTCAGGAGAGAGACCCACCCATGTGCCCTGTACCTTTGCCTCTGCTTCTCCCACCACCAAGGCACGTCTAAATGGGGGGCAAACGTGGACGCTGTTGAAGTTTTACTCACCTTCTGGTAGTACATGTGGGCCAGGACTCCTGCCACCAGCTCGACCAGGAAGATGACAAGCAACAGGCAGAAATACTAGGGACAAGGAGAAGATGGTCACCAACAGAGAGCAGGGCTGAGGAGGTGGGCAGGAACTTCCCAGGAGCTTGGTGGGCAAATGCTTTCCCAAAGCCATGTGGCGGTGGTGATGTCTGCCAGGGACCTCATCACCTATACTGCCTTGGTCTTCATACCAGCCTCTGTGGGCTGCTGGCGCTGAGCCCTCCACTAACCCCTTCATTCCTGGTTAGATATTAATCTATTAACCCAACCACGCCTCTAACACCACAATTGATGTGCATCCATGAAGGAGATGATGCAGGACATGGTGCCGTTTTGTTCCACTGAGCATAGAGTTTCCGTGAGTCAGGCTGACTCCATAGTGGCTAATAACACCAGCAACCAGGTGCCAGATATCATGGGTGAGACAGCTATGTGCCTATAGGCTAGGGTGTCTACGGAGTGCAGCTAAGCAAATGGCTACAATCTGGGTTATAAATGCTACTATGGAGTCAGCCCCAGAAACTGTGGGAGGCCTGGGTGCAGGAGGGCAATCAGAGAAGGCTTCCTGAAGGTGACAGCTAAGTGGAATCCCTCAGGACGAGCTGCCATCTGCAAAGTGAATAAGGGAAGTGCACTCCAGGTAGAGAAGGCAGCATGTGCAAAGAGCAGAAGATTGCAGAAAGGGAAGCATGGTGGGCTTGTGTTCAGAAGATGGAGAAGGCAGATGAGGCAGGAGTGGAGGCTGTAAGACAGGCAGCAGCAATCAAGATGTAGAGCAAGGCAAAGGCAGAGGTCCCAGGAAGGCGATTCCCTTGCTGCCGCCCAGCCCTGAAGCCCATCTCCTGTCCGTCCTGGCCCCCAGGGTGTTTCTGGATCCCGCTCTCACTGGCGGCCTCCTCCAGGCTCCGGGCTGCTCTTCACGCTTCACGGGCCTGCGGATGCTGCTGATGTTGCTGGCAGCCAGCCTGGCTGCTTGCTGGACTGCGACCAGCAGGAGGCTGATGACCGCAGCCCCTCCCTCCCACCTGGTTTTATATAGTCTCAAGGCTCCCAGGACACCACTTGACCCTGGCGTGTTCTTACAGGGACACAATGGTAAACACATGTCAGGCCACATGGGCTGGGAGGACACAGGGAGGAAGATGAGGCCTGAGTCTCGCACAGAGAAGAGAGGAGAGAGAAGGTGGGGGAGGCACTAGGGATGGGAAGTGGCCCCTTCTGGGCAACTCTGCCTCCAACAATGGTCTTGCTGAGCCCTGGTGGATGATGCCTTGGTCCCTGGAGGCCCTGACACTGTCCATCTACCTGGTGACACCACAGCAGCACCCAGAGTCATCTGATGCCCTACTTCTCAGGAAGACCCAGCCTTGGGGTGACAGCTGAAGGCATTGGCTCATCGAGGTGTGCAGGGCAGTGTGGCTGAAGTGTGAGCACAGGCTAGGGCAGTGGGCACAGCTTCCCAGGCTTTCTGGCAGGGTTGTCAAGCTTCTGGATGAGGTCTAGACATGAGGGAGGCTCCATGTGGCACATTTCATGGCCCCAGGGACTCCAGACACCATAGGGAAGGGACTGAGTGCAGGACAGTAGACTGGACATAAGCAGGGTCTAAGTGTGGTACTGACAGTGTCCAGACTGAGGCGGAGGCGGAGGATGAGGATGACCAGGTCTGTGGACAGGCCCCCCCCCCTCCGCCTGATGACCCCTGGTGTAGTGAGGGCCCAAACACCCCAAGGGCCTTGGTAGAGGTCAGCCAACCAAGGCTGGACTCCAGACACTGCTATTCCTGGCTCTGGTTGGGAGACCATGAGCATCTTGGTTTGAACTGGAAAAATGTGCTCCCACTTTGGGGGCCTGCAGGTCCCAGCAGGCTGTGTGGCTCAGCCGGAGTTGGGTAGGTTGCATGTCAGCACTTCCAAGTCCCCGTGGGTAGGACACCAGAGGCTCTCTGGCCGCCTACCGTGGCTCAGACTGTGGGATCAAGGCTGTGTTTCCCTGCCAGTGAGAGGGCGCAATAACGCCATTATCACTTGCCAGAGGCAAGGGTGGGAAAACTTGGCTCTCACATACTCGGGGCCTGTTGTCAGGAGGGCCCAGTCCTCGGAAAAAGACACCATGGTGGGAGAGGTGGAGGGTTAGACAAAGAGAGGAAGACTCTTGACAAGAGGGACTGGCACAGTGACTGGAGTGAGCGTATCAGAGAGTATGAAGATGACAGCGCAGAGGGCAAGATGCAGATCAATTGTTCCTGGAGTCACGATGAGTTGTAGTTGACCCAGTGGCACCTAACAACAACAACGTCACCTGCCATGCATGCTATGGATGGCTGAGAGGGTCCACCGTGAAGGGACACTGCCTCCAAGAATATTTTTTCTGTTGTGAAGTGCTTCACTGTGATCTGGTGAGGCGGACGCTCGCCCTTCCACAACCAGGCTGTCTGAGAGAGAGCACAGCATTTGGAAGCCGCGAGCCGGCACAGGGGGACCCCGGGCAGGTCATTGCCCTCCTGGGAGCTGCCTCCGATTGTGGTCTCTGTTCATTATTCCAGTGCTGGCTTTATCCCGTCAGCTGCTGGTGAGTCGATTCTGATACACGGTGACTGTGTGTGCCAGAGGAGGTGTGTGCACAGGGCTTGCAGAGCTGATTGTCCAGTAAACTGCTGGCATTTTCTTCGGAGCACCTTTGGGTTAGGCTTGAACCTTCAACTAGTCAGTCAACAGCTGAGTCTGTTAACAGTTTGCACCACCGGGAGGCTTCCTGCCGGCCACACGAGACCTACACACAGTGATGGTGGTTGCATCCTGAGAGCAGGAAGAGCCACCGGGTGCCCTCAGGACCCAGGCCACTGGCTCCGGAAGGTACAGCTTCTCGGTGTCCTGCCTTCCTCCTGCAGGTACAAGGTAGGGGCTTCTCTCCCCTTCCCTGCTTCCAGCTGCGAGTTATGCTGTGACAGCCCTGCAGACATGGCAGGGCAATCATGCTGCTTCGCAAGAGACGTCATCGCCACAGCTGCTCCTGGAGACGGATGGGGCAAGGGATGATGGGAAGGGAGCAGCCACCGGACCACACCCATTGCTTTAATGGCAGGCTAAATTAGAACATGCCAGTCCCTCCAAGACCTTTCTGAGGCATTGCAGGCTCTCAAACCTGACGGCGTTGTCAGGAGCAGTCAGGAAGAACTTCTCTGAGAGGTAGGTGGAGAGGGTGTGCAGAGCCCACTTGAGGGGAAGCCCTACGGGACAGGCTGGGGGCTCTGAGCGGGTCTACAGGCGAGTGCAGGGAGCACACTGACTCGGGTCTCCAGGCAGCAGCTCTGGCACAGGAAGGTGTGTGATTCACCTGGGCGGAGGAGGCCCTGAATCACCGTTCCTGGCGTGACAGCCCCCACGGGGCAGGTGAAAAAAGGGTCATGCTGCTTTGGATGCTTTTACACTGAGGGCTGTCAGCCCAGACTCAAGTGATTGGAGCATCTGGGAGCTAATACCTGGCTTCAAGCCACGCACTCTAACAAGAGCCTCTTGTCGACCCCTCCATCCACCTCTAACTCTCCCAGCCCAGCTTAAAGATGACCTTGGATTCAAGAAAAGCTTGGAAAAACTTTAGTAGTCCTAATCCACAACATAAAGAGTCTTCCCAGTATTCTGAAAAATTTACAACCAGGAGAAGATAAAATAGATGAATGGGACCTTCTAAGAATCAAATCCCTATGCGCATCCAGAAACTTCTCTAACAGGGTAAAAAGGGAAGCCACAGATTGGGAAAAAGTTTTTGGTAATGACATGTCAGACAAGGGACTTATATCTAGAATTTATAAAATACTCGAGCACCACAACAAGATCAAGGAGAATAATCCAATTGAAAAATGGGCACAGGATATGAACAGACACTTCACCAAGGAAGACATTCAGATGGCCAAAAAGCACATGAAGAAATGTTCAAAATCCCTAGCCCTGAGAGAGATGCAAATCAAGACAACCATGAGATATCATCTCACTCCAGTAAGACTAGCAAAATTTAACAGAACAGCAAGCAACAAATGCTGGCGAGGTTGTGGAGAGACTGGGAACCTGATTCACTGTTGGTGGGAGTGTAAAATGGTGCAACCACTGTGGAAAGCATTGTGGCGCTTTCTCAAAAAGTTGCAAATAAAGATACCATTTGACCCAGCAATTCCACTACTGGGAATATACCCTAAAGAGACCATAAATGACATCCAAGTAGATATATGTATACCCATGTTTATCGCGGCTTTGTTTACAATAGCAAGGAGTTGGAAACAACCTAAATGCCCATCAACAAACGAATGGCTAGAGAAGCTGTGGTATATTCGCACAATGGAATACTATGCTGCATTGAAAAACAAGGAACTCATGCAATATTATTCAAAATGGGTGAACCTGGAGGACATTATGCTGAGTGAGGTATCTCAGTCACAAAGGGACAAATGCTATATGGTGCCACTGTTGTAGAATGAGGCTGGCATTGGGGTGGGGGTAAGACTGAGAAAAACTGGATGAAATATGTTTACGGCATTGAAGTCTATGGGGGAGAGAATAGTCTAAAAGTATTATATTTTAGGGCATTATTTTTATCGTAGGAGTATGCAATGAGGGTTGTAGAGTGGATTATATTTGGGGCTAGGGGGTGGGGTTTGGGGAGGTGCGGTGGGGGGGGATTGTGTACCAATGAGGGAGTTTTTCTTTTGCGTTTCAAGGAGAGGAGCAAATGGGGAGGGGTTTGTGCGGGGAGAAGGGTGCAACAATGAATGAATGGAATCCCAAAATCTCTGTAGATGTTCATTGAAATGAAAAATAAACAACCTAAATTACAAAAAAAAAAAAGATGACCTTGGGACTCCTTGGTTACAGCTTTCAGTTTCCAGCATTCCTGTGGTACATGGTTCCCTCCACATGGGCAGCCGTCCAGCCTCACATGTGGCTCCTGCAGCTGCCCCACTCAGTATGCCCCACTCAGCTGCCCCTCACTGCCCAGCTCAGTCATCCCAGAGCAGGCAGGGTCTGCTCCCACCACCTTCT